AAAAAAAAAAAAAAAAAAAAAAAAAAAAAAAAAAAAACAAAAAAACCTGGATTTACCAGAACATTTGAAACTCAAAGATGATAATTTCTTCCAAGTTTCTAAAAGCAAAATTATGAATTGCCACTGATGAAAGTGCCTTATCTAGGCCCTCGCTGTCGGGTCTCTTTGCTTGTGATACAGTCTCACCTTGGTCATATTTTAAATCAAGCCTTTCTCTGTTGCTGTCAAGTGGTCTTCAGCTATTAACTCCATCGTGTTATATAATATTAAAAGATGCATTCAGAAATCAAAGAAAAAGAGTTAGAGTTACAATATTTATATCTACTTTATCTTTTATTATAACTAAGGAAAACTATAATTATATATTTCTATTCTTCAATTCCATCAAAGACTCCAGAAGGATACAATATTACCTAAGTAAACAGGAAGTGCATTGTAAGCAACTTCCAAAACTCTAGAATTGACAGAGACTTCTCACTGCCTAGACAGTCTCCCAAAGTACTTTTGTAACATTGCAGCACAAATCTTCAGCCTATAGGCCCATGATGTCTGGCAGAGTTTTCTATGAAGTAGAAATTTTTAAAAACCATTCCACATATATTGGCAATTTGTCAGTCATTTTCTTCTCTTTCCTGCAAAATGTCTGGCAGACTCTTACATGAATCAGGAACTCTGATGGGCAATCTCACCTTTAGGCAAGCTTAGTAGTCATTTTTCTGTGGGTCCTGCATGTCCAGTTCATATAATATATCATCAAGCAGTCCAAACAAGTGCAGTTTCTTGCCCAAATAGCTAGCAAACTCCATAAAGAGCCTCTTTGGTGTCCATCTTCCTATTGAAGTAAATAGTGTTGCCAGGAACAGATGTCTCATCGTCATGAAAAGTCCCAAGTTCTTAAAACATTTTAAGTGTCACATTCTGTAGGTCTTTTAAAAGTTTAAAGACTATCTCTCTAATGGAAATATATTGCGATATATCTAGAAAACCTAATGACTACGAGCTTGAATATTATAAGTGATTATCTATTAACCTATATTTCTTAATTATCCATACATTTTTAAAATGAGTTACACAAACACAATACCTTAATCAAGAGCAGAAATATGTATATACATGTATATATACCAAAATGGATATTAAATTTGTATCAATAAACCAAGGTCCATACCAATGCAAAATAGTCATCTCTATAGTATTCTGGCCAGCAGGGTACAAAAAGAAGTCCCTAATATACATAGGGGAGAGGAATGGAGAGTACAAGACAGGGTTTCTGATCAAACTGATGTTTATTATTTCCTCAGAAGCTGTTATATAGCAAATGGGCAAGGGGGAGGGGAGATGTGTCAAGTCTCCTGGAATTCAGGCCTGGAGACATCCCTACCTGATAAGTAAATACTTTGATTGTTGACTAACAAAGGAAATGCTAATTGTTTCTAAAAGCCTGGTGCCTGGAGGTCTCACTAGGCTAAGTCCTAAATCCAGAAATTGACCTGCGAAGGTGAATTTAATGGCTGTAAACAAAATACAGATCTCAAAATACAGGCCTTTGCTTCCAGCATGACCACCCTTTTTAAGTATTAGAATGAGGCAAGTTAAAGGTCATCTGGTAGATAAGTGGGCATTAACCAGTTGGGGGGAATAGAGGCCCCATCTCCCCAAGTTTTATTGGTGGGGGAAAATTCTTTCCAACTTGGTGGAAAAATTTTCTTTTTAAAGTTACAGATGTCTTTTTTGGGAGGAGAGGGTTTAGGTTTTTATATCAATACTCTGAACATCAACCTCTATGCAATCAGGCATGTTCCTCAGGAGACCCAGAGACAGAATGCATGGTCTTCTCCTTGCAGTGTTTTGTCTAGCACTCCTTCTGCTGGTACCCATGTCTGTCATGTACAGACACACATATATCTGGGATTTATGTGGCTCCAATAGGAGACTCACTCTCAAGGGGCTTCTTTTAGCCCTTGATCAGTCACATTAAGCTGGTGATAATGGACCTGAATAGGCTTGGATGCAAGAGTCCACCTGTTGGTGAACAAATTTAGTGAGCCTATTAAGGATCCACCATCCAAAAGCCATCAATAATAAAAATCCTAAAAGGGGGTCTGTAATTGAAAGACCTGGATAAATCCAGATCCCCCTAGCAGGAAAACAGAGCCAAAAATCTAGCAGGAAGAAAAGAATCAGAAATCTAGGATTAACCAATTACAGGGTTTCAGGAACTAGCTGAAGATAAAGGTAGATTGTAATCTTGAGAGTAATCTTGAGAAACAGAGAGATTCCCCCTAGTAATTATCACCCCCTAGTAATTATCATTGGTATAGGAACTAGCTGATTACGACCTTGAGAATGATCTTGAGAGGCAGGGAGTTGCCCCCTTGTAATCATCACTGGAATTTTCAGAGTTTTCTGTGACATCCTCCCTGCCCCCCTTTTTGGATTACTGGGCTGTGTGGTTTCTTCCTATAAAAACTACTTCTCCCAGTCACTCAAGGTCGAACTCTTCCCCTGCGTGGGATAAGAGTCTCAGCCCCAGTGCACTGGTCCCCGTCTTGTCATCTTGTCATTAAACCTCGTGTGATTGCAGCAAGGATGGTCTCTCGTGAGTTACTGGGGGGGTTCGTGTCATCCCAAGGCACAAGTGAGAGTCTCCCCTAATCGGGGGTCTTTCATAATGAGCATAAATGCAGATTCCTCTGAATGAATAAATAAAGGGAAATCTGTAGTGTAGATAGAACAGCAAATTTATAGAATAAGAATGAATGCAATGTGGTGTAGTGTAAAATCATTTCTTCTTGTGTGTGGTATGAAAAATTACTAAGGTGAAATATTAAGAGAACATTTGCCCACTTGAAGGCTGCCATACCCATCTGGCCCTGCCAGATGGGGAGGCTGCACCCAGCAACCTTGGTAATGAAGTAATCTTGCCACATGAAAGGGACTCCCACCCTGCTGTGGCCAGTCAATACTGACAACCCAAGTTATTGGTAGAATCAAGCGTGAGGCAGTTTCAAGCTAGCATAAAAAGAGAGGGCAGAAGCAGGGCAGTCATCTCACTTCTCACAATGGCTTGGGCATCAGGCCTCATGGAAAGAGATACTCTAAGCCTGCCTCACAAATAGCAGAAATATTTAACACCTTGCCTAAACATTCAATGTTCTGTCTCCGGAATACAGAGCTTCATCTCCCAAAAGCAGACATTTAATGTCTTGCATCCCAAATGAAAAGCCTCATTTCCTGAGAGTGGACATTGAAGGTCTGTTTCCTGAGAACAGACAAGATACTCTGCCTTTCTGAATGCAGACAGAATGCTTTGCTATCCCGAGAGCAAAGCTTCATCTTCTGACTTGAGAGCAGATAGAATGCCTTTGCTATCTAGAGAGTAGAGAACTAAAAGACGTGTCTCCTGAGACTCAGTCACTCAAAAAGCTGAGTCCAATGGCCCTACATTTTGAGATAGACTAGCACCAGGCCACAGACTATGTGGTCAAAAATTGATGTAGCACCTGGTACCAACCTAGGAGCAGGACCTTGAAACCTTATCTCCCAAATGCAGACTACGGGGTTAAGAGTTGAACCTTGCTATCCAGCCTGTGGTCAGGCATCCAGCCTGAAGAAATTCAAAAAGTCGTTTTTAAGCTGAAGAATACCAGGTCGTATGATGCTATTTAATGCATGCACGAAATGTTAGGAGAAGAGCATAGATGTGTTAATACATATGTTAGTATATGAAATATTAAGAGATATTGAAAGACCCCCGATTAGGGGAGACTCTCACTCGAGCCTTGGGATGATGCGAACCCCCCCAGTAACTCACGAGAGACCATCCTTGCTGCAATCACATGAGGTTTAATGACAAGACGACAAGATGGGGACCAGTGCACTGGGGCCGAGACTCATAACCCACTCAGGGGAAGAGTTCGACCTCGAGTGACTGGGAGAAGTAGTTTTTATAGGAAGAAACCACACAGCCCAGTAATCCAAAAAGGGGGGCAGGGAGGATGTCACAGAAAACTCTGAAAATTTCAGTGATGATTACAAGGGGGCAACTCCCTGCCTCTCAAGATCATTCTCAAGGTCGTAATCAGCTAGTTCCTATACCAATGATAATTACTAGGGGGTAATAATTACTAGGGGGAATCTCTCTGTTTCTCAAGATTACTCTCAAGATTACAATCTACCTTTATCTTCAGCTAGTTCCTGAAACCCTGAAATTGGTTAATCCTAGATTTCTGATTCTTCTCTTCCTGCTAGATTTTTGGCTCTGTTTTCCTGCTAGGGGGTCTGGATTTATCCAGGTCTTTCATCTCCCCACTTCTTCTAGTGCCTAGTTCTAATCATAGAACTAGATTTCAGTATCTTTTTGATGTTGTAAAGCACTATATTGGTGGCATAACATCAAAATTTGAACAGCACTTATTCTTTCTCTAATGAAAGTAATTAGTCTGTTTAATATACATGGACCTAATATCAGTAGCAGAAGCAAAATTAGGAGTGGTCCCATAAGGAGGATATCAAAGTAGTCATCCAGGGAGATCTATTAAACCAGCTCTCAAACCATCCCTGATGTACTTCTCTGTCTTTCTGTCTTTTGTCTAATCTTTCTCTAAGTTTGCTCATGGAATCTTTAATTACTCCTGAATGGTCCACATAGAAGCAACATTTCTCTTTGAGAGCAGCACATAATCCTCCATCCTTTAAGAATAACAAATCTAATCCCCTTCTATTCTGTAAGACCACTTCTGAGAGGGAAGTCAGTGATTCTTTGAGTTTGGAAACAGATTGTTCTAAAGCCCTCAAATCTTAATTCATTGAAGTACTGAGGGCACTGTATTAGGGCAGCAGTACCTGTCCCAACACCGGCAGCTACTCCAAGGCCCAGGATTACTGCTAGTGTCAGAGAAATAGGTTCTCGTCGAAAGCGAGTTGGGTGCCTGTCAAACTCATACCAGTTGTACAAACACATAGTAATCTTTGGTATCATCAAAAACTAATGTTGACACGCAAGGTGTCAAGGCTGTACTACAAACCAATCATCTACTCAAACCAGGAACCAAGTACCTGGTGTCAGGAGTCTTAGGGCTCTTAAGAGTCTCATTACATAACCTCAGTAAGAGTCCATCTATGATTAGTCCTCCAAACACAAGCCTCTTGAC